GTGCAAGTTCGCACGTTAAAGATCCCTTGGTGGTCCTAATATCGATAAGTGTAGGCATTGACAGCCACCCGTGCAAAATTAAAAATTAATCCCTACTAAACTGAAAATGCTTAAACGTGTCCCGCGTGCTCATATGATCTTATTCATTTGCGAGCGTTGAAAAACACTTACAAGCCCCCCCCCCCCTTCCAATCAATAAATAGCTACGCGTCTTGCCAACAACCAGGGATACAGGCCTGTGTGATCTAATAAAGCTGTCAAATCACATTTTGTAAAAATGCAAAAACCTTCTCATTCAGGGCATTGGAATACTTCGTCCTGCAGTTGCTTTTGGTTTGTTATTTTCTGGGTAACGATGTAGCTTCAATATTATAACTTGTTTACTTTCGTCTGTCCTCCTTCATTTCTAGCTCATTTATTTATTTACCAATGCCCAAGAGACTTTGCATGACACTTCCAGTGGCGAAACGTCTATATAATCAAATAACCACCGCTTCCCTTCTTAATTTTGAAACATTGTCGCAGTCAAATTTACCCATAGACGTAAACCGTATAAATTAAATGTGAAAAGACGTTCATAATATCCAATGAACAGTATGCCTAACAACATTCAAAACTGTTTCATTGCCACAGAAATAGCCTGTTCACCCCAATCGGGCCACTCCGTAAGCAGTCGCAAGCTTTGATTAAGTAAACTTACAGTGAGGATGGAAGTGTCTACCAAAAGAGTTGAAGGGAACATGTATACAGCACTCAAAGCTGTTTCATTGCCACATATACCCTGTTCACCTTTTTCGGGCAACAGTTATAAGCAGTCACAAGCACTGGTTATGTAAGCTAACTATTACACTGGTCGAGTCTACCTCACATATGTGAGGGGAACTAACTCCTTATAATGTCATGACTGCTGCGAGTTCTTGTTTTTTTTTTCCTCGACTTTTTATCGTCCTATAATCAGATTGTGACCTCGATTATGACACCGGCTCCTGGCTGCGAAACGCTAGACAAAAACAGCCAAATGTGAAGTGAGAAAAAAAATTGTCATGTTCTACCAAAGAGTTTGACTCATTGGTGTTACAAACAAAAAAATGACGTGTAGTACTGACATCTCTGCTTCTTTGCTTTGTGTTTGTGTATTCACATCTAAAGATAGATATTAATGTTTGTTGGAATAGAAATTTAATGAGATACTTTCCAGATTATTTTAGCGGTTAAACATGCATACAACATGAATTCAGGATTTCTTTTCATTCACAACTCTGTGTTGCCGCATCGAGTAAGATTCTTGTCTGATATCTCCACCCATTAGATTTTAAAAGTGGCAAAAGGCAGGAGTCAGGTAAGCATTAGATTGACGTGGTGTTAGAAAATTCCTGCCCTTTTGTATTTTCACGCCTTTGTTTACTTTAAATTTATAGGCTACTATTACAGGGCTACAAACAGTTGAGAGATAAAAGATTTTTCTTTACTTGATGTAAGTGTTTTTTAAGTCCACAGTAACACAATTGAAATCTTTTGGAAGGCGGACGTTTTGCCTTGTCTGTCATGCAGGGCCAACCCGGGCTGAGAAGGTTACACCATCCCAATAGAAAGACCGATTTACTCGAGAAAAATTTTCTCCACAACCAGAAATCGAACTCGGTTCTCTTGTCTTCATGTCACAGCCAAGCGTCGAACAGCCATGCTACACCACAAACGCCGGTGTTCTGAGCAATTTCGTTTTCGTGAGAGTTTTACAGAGTAAAGTCATATAAATGCCGAATATTAGAGGTGATACAAAGAAGTAACTAACACAAAAAAGAAGGAAGAGAGATAAGGACAATAGATGTTTGATGGGAAAGAAGGAGCAAAACCACAACAGAGCACCTTCCAACCACCCACTTTGAAGGAAGCATACCGATAGACATACACCTCATGGCCGCCGTTCTTTGCTCTGTGGGAAAACTTCGAAGTGCTGGTGCGCAAATGAAGGGCAAAACATTTATAGTCTTGCTAAAGTCGAGTACGTGAGCAACACTTCCTTCCTTACCCATTTTAGGGGCTTGTCAAATAGAGTCAAATGTTACGCGCCATGCTGAACTAGGATTACGTCAGAGTGCATAGTGAAATGAAATGGTGAAATGGTAGCCTCTAGGTTTAACACCTCTATCATCAACACTTAGGTAATTTAAGAGGCCGGACCTCCGAGTTTAACGTCCATTTCCGAAAGGACTGAGCCAAGAGGGAAGTTCTTATAAAGTGTCTTTCCCAAGGACAAAACGTCGTATAAAGGTGAAGCTCGAACCCCCCGAACTTGCAGTCTCATGATTATGAGTCCGTAGCCTAACCAATAGGCCATCGACGCCACCCTGAGTGCACAGTCTTGGACATTACATTACGATTTTTTTAAGCTCTTAAGGGTCAGATCTCCTGATCGCGTTAACTGTTTTCACTTTCATCTTGGAGTTTGTGTGTTGCCGCCACTCGCTCTGTAGCCGGGGAGAGAGGCGGGAGGGTGTCCCTGTGTGCAGCAAACCGTGGAGGCGGGAGCAGCTCCCCCCGTGTCCAGTAGCGCGGGAATTTAGACAGGTCAAATTTTGATGACGTCTGCAATATCGCCCAGATCTTGTTCTGGCGGAAAGGCAAGTTCTGATTTTGCCCTGAGAAAACAGTCCGGTTATGTCCGGATGTCGTTATCCGTTTCTGGTCGAATGGCAGACGGAGACTTAAAAAGCGAGCAGAGTGCCCTCTGTGACCTCTCTCTATTTGCAGACGACGTGTTACGTCCTGTTGTTTTTGTCTGTGTCCGTGAGCAGGGACATGGCCAGTCCCTCCAGGGTCACTGTGTACGTCACTGACAAAGTCACCTGGCATAGACTCAGACTGAGATGGGACAGATTTATATTGTCTGCTACCTGCCAGTAACTGTCGTCTGTCGTCCTGGCTTGAGGGCGCTGACGTCACACGTCGTCTGCTGAACGTGCGCCAATCCCGTGCCGTTTTCTGTGCCTCCGTCTCTCTGTGCGTCTCCGTGTGTTCATGGCGGGTGTCAAGCTGTCGGCGGGTGGTGTTATTGTCAGATGATTTGGAGAGTGTCCCGATGACAAAGTTATCATAAGACATCGACTCTTTGCTCTCTACATAAAGCAGGCTCTCGGATGACCTTGACGAGATTCCTTGTTTACCAACTAGGTTCTCACGTGATCCCCACAATCTCTCCTGTCCGCGATGTGGCAAGTTCTCAAAAGACTTTGAAGACTTCTGCCTTTCATTGACTAACCTTCCAGACGACCAGGAACTTTTCCCCCGCTTAAATTCAAAGTTACCAGTTGACCTCGAGATCTTTCCCCGTTCTCTATCTCCTTCCCTGACCGATCTGGAAGGCACATCTTGAACACTGACTGAACTGCCATATGACCTCAAGGCTCTCTCATGCCCGCCTGTCAGCGTCAGTCTCTGAAGCGAACTTGAAGACTCCTCCCACTCACATCGGTTATTTGTTTTGGGCCGAGAAAGACTGGAAAAACTCCTGTCTCTCGTGCGCACTCCGCCTGGCAAGTTATTTTCTTGTTTCTCTGGAGATCTTCTATCACGACCCTGACACTTTGAGGAGAGCGCCCGATCGTTTGACAAGTTGTTGTGTTTGAGCTGTGAGCATGTTTGGTCAGGCATCATGGCCGTAGGGCACTCTACAGTGCGACTTGCACAAACTTTTGTCTTGTCTTTAGAACAGATGGAAACACTGCCTCCCCCGTAGACAGTCCGGTAACCACTCGCCCACGTCTCTGACTCTACGTCCGTATTCAAACTAGTGTGTCTGGATATCGCCGAGGAAGACTGCAACCCTCCCACCACGGCAGCATCAATTGACAAATGGGCAGCTGGAGCTTTGAGGTGGATCTCCTCCCTGCCAAAAACAGTTGAATGCGTTTTACACGACGGCTTCGTGACATCATTCTCCGTATTACAGTCTCGTTCAAGCAGCAGTTTAGGCACATCGTAGACAGATTGCTCACGTTTGGCGTGCCCGTGAAGAGAAACCGGAAAGAGAAATGGATCCGGATATCTAGTTTTGGCCTTCAGTTTGGGCGGTACGTCCAGATCTGGCACCACCACTGACAGACACTCCCTCCCCCAAGTTTCACCAAAGACTGTGTTTTCGCTTGCTGGGTTTTTTGATGTGGCAAACACCGAGTTTGTTGATGTTAACGTCACACTTTTTGCGTTCTTAGAAGCTGGCGTAGCAGTTTGTTTACTTGTTGACTTGACTAGCGAGTGCTCAGCCCCTGTGTGGAGTGAAGACAATATCTGAGTGGAGTCCAGATTGTAGTAATGTCTGCTTGAGTGGTCAGCAGCGGGAGAACACGTCAGAACTTTGTAATCGGCGAGGGGGTCTTCTGGATGAAGCCTATTCGTTTCATATTCGGTTGCCAGCCTTGTACTTGCACCACCTGTCGCACCGCGCTCTTTCTCATGTGGCAACTGCATTGTATCATCTTTCACACTATGCGTCATCTCTCCACGTGATGGGGATGCATCACTCCTTACTACAACCACAGCTTCACCACATGGCCACGCCGTAATATCTCCCCTTTCTGTCACTGTTAGTTCACTCGGTGACCTGACTGCACCGCCATCCCTCACACCACGACATGCCTCTCTGTCACGCGATGGATTTGTATAGCCTGTTTCTCTACTTCCCATATCCTCCTCCCTCTGTCTCCCCTCCTGGGGATTCCTCTTATCACCTAACATCCCACTTTCAACCCGCGACATTTCTAACTTATTCCTGTGTTGACGAGGTTTCTCCTCTCCAGAACCCTCCGCAAATCCTGCGCGTGACGTCGTCAGCCTCCCCTCTGGCTGCCTCTGTGGTGTAGAGAGTTTTGACGTGGGCCTATGCGCACCCCCTGAAGAACTCCTATCTCGAGCTGTGTCTTCCTTCGCTATCTTTGACTCATGGGTGTCAGTTGTGTCTCCCCTTGCTGTCTTTAACACTTGGCTCTTACCGATATACTTACTTTCGTCTCGAAGCGTTTTTGCTCCCGAAAGAATATCAAACTTAAGTGAACTTCGACCTTCGACCGTTTCATCAGTTACCGTCTCTAACACATAGTGGTCATTGTGGTATTGGCCTTGGTGTGTACATCCCGTGACCGCAGAAAGAGCGCCGCAGCTCGACACAGGTGACATTTGACCCTACACAGCTGGTCTCCCGTGCTCATTTTCGACGTCTTCCGTTTCACGTCCTCCTCTGCACGGGTTGATCTCCAAACATTTCCCCTCTCGACATCCTCCTCCTCCCTCCTCACCACAGAGCTCTTCCTGTCTCTGTGCCCTCCAGCAGCGGCCATCCCTGCCTCTCCACCCAGCGTCATCTGCGACGTCACCACGCCCCCGTAACAGTGACCCCGTTCACCGCCATCACCACCAGGCTGGGTGTACGTTGTCCTGCTACTTGTGGTCAGCCCTTCCGACTCGCTTCCTGTGTGGTAGGTAGGCCCACTGATCACTTGTTGAGTGCCTGGAACATTGTAGTCAGAATAGTATGGTATAAGGTCTATGATTTGCTTGTTGTGTACCTTGTCTATTAATCATAATAGATTGGTACAAGCGTAAATGCGCGTGCGCACACACCCACACGCCCATACACACATACAAACACACAAACTCACAAACACACTAACACACACATACACAAACACACAAATACACACAATCACACACATACACACACACACACACACACACACACACACATACACAAATACACAATACACACACTACACACATACGTTCACACACATAAGATATTTTATCTTTGCAAAAAGCAATAGTTTTACAG